CTCATAGTTGAGGTATACCTATGATGAAAATTACAGGCCTCTCTCATCTTTTTAAGTGGGAGAACTTGCACAATTGGTGGCTGACTAAATACTTTTTTGCCCCACTGTAGATTATGCTAGCTCTTTATTTGTTAATTAGTATAATTCTGGGGTTCTGATTTGATAATTAAAGGCTTATATAGCCTAGTTAACTAAATGCATGTTTTTGCTTCACAAAATTGATCTTTAGAAGTGAGCCCCCTCACAAATTGATCTTTAGAAGAGAGCTGCTCTAAGTTTATTCTGTCCATTGGAAACAGTAATTTTTCGGCAGTAGCCTTCTTGCTTGGGAACTCTCAGAAATTAATTCCAATTTCATTTTCTGAAAACCTTTCGAAGATGGCTTATTATTTTGCTGACGTACTTTTGAATGTATGTATGTATGTATACATGTATAATCAGCCTTCCCTGCCACCTTCCAGATGTACTGAAATTAAAATTTCCCAAAGGCACTGAGGAAGTCTGATTCATGCTAAGTACCCAATAGCTATTTTAATAGACACCAGAAAGCACTTTTGGATTTTATCGCAAATTTAAGTAAACATTAACTAGAAATATGGTTCTTAAGTGTTTCAGCTCCACTGATGTCCATGTGCATTACAATTTCAAAGAACCTTAACTATATAACTTCATCTACAGACGGGGGAGCTAAGGACAAAGATGAGTCAATCACATGAGGATAGCTTAACCAGTGTGGCCTGGAATCCAGATGGAAAACGTTTTGTGACAGGAGGGCAGCGCGGGCAATTTTACCAGTGTGTAAGTTGGAATGGGCAACCTTTCTGCAGCTAGTGACTACATTGTTATTTTTATTTATTTGTCTTCAAAGAACCACCCGGGGTGTGCATGTTGAAGCCACTAGAGTGGGTGGGGGTAGAATTTTCACTCTGTTTTGGGGGGGCTTTCCATGAGTTCCTTGGGTTGGGGGTTCATTTTAAAACAGATTTGTTAAACCTAGAAAAGGCTTATCACCTATTTTCATTGCTATTTTTTATAAAGAAAAAGGTAGAAACTTTTAAGGGATTTAGGCAATAATGGTAAAAAGAAACAGTTCTTTTACAATGCAAAAATACATCAGTACCTGATGTCGAGACTGTCACTGCTGATATGTTCTTCGGTTGGATAGCCATAAATATATATTTTCCAATGAAAAGTTGTTTAGAGATGGCTAGTTACAAAGGTTCGGCAAAAGCAATGTTAGTGTCTGTGGAATTTAGTACCTGAAATATATATGAAATTGTGTATATTGCTTTTCATACAAAAAGTATTCTGTAATGTCAAGCAATTAATAGATTCAATGTGACATACATTTTCATGGGCTACATCTTATTTCAGCATATAATCAGTATGCATAATAAGGATTATTCTGGTCATTATAGTAATTACCAGCTTTAGCTAGTAAATATTCACGTGCATATAGCAAAATTGGTAGGTCCAAAAAAGCCATGAAATGTAAAATAAACCACATATAACCTGCATTCCTTTCTACATTTTCTAAGTAGTCTGAAAGCACTTTGTTACCTGTTTGCACAGGTATTTTAAAAGCTGCACCCCCCCCCAATATCCATCCAAAACAAAACAGCATGTGTTAGTTCAACACTTTCCCCCTCCCACTGAGGTGTAGAGGTTGAGAACCATCAGGACTCTATTTGGGAGACAAGTAGAGAAGAATGAAGGTTCCACAGAACAAGGTCTGCTTTTTTAACATTGGATGGTACCCACAAAATCTGTTTTTACAATACAGCCTCATTTACTGATGGAGGTAAACTATTTTTCATGCTGTTGGTAGCTTTTTAAAAGTATTTTGCTTTATCCATTTCCTGTCTAGGATTTAGATGGTAATCTCCTAGACTCCTGGGAAGGAGTGAGAGTGCAGTGCCTGTGGTGCTTGAGTGATGGGAAGACTGTGTTGGCATCAGACACACACCAGCGAATTCGGGGATATAACTTTGAGGACCTTACAGACAGAAACATGTAACTACATTCTTTTCCTGTTGCAGTAGATAAATTAATCCTGTCATATGGTTGGCTGAACATTTAAACTGAGCTGGATGATAATAATGTTCCAGGTGACTTCTGGATCATGTGTTAATTCTAAGTTGGGCTTTCTGAAAACAGTTCTATATAAATATGAGGAATATAAATGTGAGGAATAAATAAATAAATAATAAATCCTAAAGCAAGAACTATGGTGTAGTCATAATTGGGGGCATTGTAAGACCCCAGTAATAAAGGATGTTGAAACTATATTTACATTTTTGTACGAATGATAATTTTAAATCATGATTCTAATACAGTTGTTTATATTTTCAGAGTACAAGAAGACCATCCAATTATGTCTTTTACTATTTCAAAAAATGGCCGGCTAGCTTTGTTAAATGTAGCAACTCAGGTAAGTGGACATTGTTGCTGTTTTAAGTATAGGTATATTCTTTTGAGAAATATTAAGAGTTTTGCCAAAAAAAAAAAAAGTAACTTGCTTGTGACAAATATGCCCCACCTCCTGGCTTGTCATTTGAACTCTGGCTGTGGTTCTTTCTTGTTAGAGAGAGAAAGAGGCCAGACTTTCTTCACTTTGTTCCCATAGTGGCTAACACAATGGGGCATGTTGGCAGTGTTCCTTTCTGGGGGAGAGTTTAAGAAAGAGCTCTTTCTTCATTGTATCACTGTGGATACTATGTGTGGACTTACATTGATTCTTTCCTTCTATTTCAGAGCAATGTATTTGGAGTCACTCAATATCTGGTGACTGCCACACCAAAGTTCAGTTTCAGACTGATCAATTTGTAGCAGTGCAGTTAAAAAGAAAATTAAGGGTGGGAATGAGAGAAGGCAAATCACTACCATTTTCATCTTTAACTCCCTAAATTAGTTATTTTGGATCATTTCCCTTTGTATGATAAGATTGATTTATATTTATTGTTACTCTGTTGTTATATTTTTATATGATATGATTTTTATATATTGTTACATTACATTGTTATAGTTTTGTTATATTTACATCTGTTGAGATATAGATAGATATAGATATAGTGTATGCTGCTTTGAATTGAAATGGCATATAAAGCCTGGGAAATTAATTAATTAATTAATTAATTAATTAATTGTGTTGTCAACATTTGGTCATTTTGTCGCTGAACTTTAGTAGTACCATTTCATGCCACTGTAGGAAATTTTAAGAATGGAAATGGGAGTGATTGCCTTGTAATGCTTTTCAGTTTCCATTCACACACACCCAACCCAAATAAAGGAAAACATCTTTTTTTAAAAAATAACCAGAAGCCCCTGCAGATATGTGCGAGGTTATGAAACTGAATTGTAGTTCCCTGACCCCCACAAAGATTGCCCAACCTGCTCTAAATTTTAAGAGCCATAATTCTGGAAAAGAAAAACCGCTACTAATGCTGCATACTATTGCCATAGTATATTATTGCTTCAGGAGTGAAAGGGGAATGTTAGAATAGGTAAAACTCAGTTTTGGAGCAGAATGAGATAGTAGTTCAAATAGAGTGGAACCTCGGTTTACGAACTTAATTCATTCCGTGACTCTGGTCGCACCCTGAATTGGTCGCAACCCGAAGGAAATCAATTGGCATTTCATGGAGCAACAGGGGAATCTTACTGAAACTTGG